GAGTGATGTAGTTTGATTTTAAGAAGAAGTTTTAAGAAATATATTGTCTGAGAGTGACTGTTTGACATTCTTTGGGTTACCAATTGATGATTTAAGAAAAATTTGTATAAGAAATAGAGACACTGTCGATAGATTTTTTTACTGTTTAGCTCAAAAAGCGAAGTTGGCTTTAGCTGTATCGTAATTCGAACACTTAAAAAGGTTGAAACTAGGTGAAGGGTTGTTCCACTCTTTTTGCTTTGATGTGCAGAACTAAAAAACCTTGCTATTTTTAACTATAGAAAATAAAACAACTTCCTGTGCTAACGGCACCACTTACCACTGAATCCAGCTTAGGGGATGATTTGGGAAAGATTTTCGTCAAAACCAACCAGTTACTTGAACACAGATGCTAACCAATAGCTATAATCCCGCGAACCACCCATGATGCAGCCTCCACTATTAACGAGTCAATGGCCAGTCCGGTCATTGGCCAACCCTGGGATTGGACTTAGCCAACAAATGTCGTTCGTGAATAGCCGATTGATGCATACAGGCCAATATGCGCCACCTGTTTATCTGAAGCACGGACCAAAGTAGTGTGTTAGGATATCAGCATGTCCCTAAACAACCAAGATGCCTTTTTAAAGATAGACGGGTCTCCACGCACTATGAGCGCATAGATAGTTTTTTTCCATCAGGATCAATACAACAGGGTGATAATCGAAAAACAGACTAAAAAGCCCTCATCAGTAAATTTGGCAACTACGACAATGGGGAAGAGGAAGGAAAATACAAGTGGAAAGGTAAGAGGAAAAAACAGCAAAAATAAAAGCAAGCAATAAATATGAAATGCTGAAATCTGTAAATGATAATCAGTGTTTAAAAGTAAGTGAAATAATACTCGCTCACTTACTCTATGTACATTTTATTGGCAAGTTGGAAATTCAAAACAAGACCGTTGCAAGAGAAAAGTAAAAGAATGTTAAAGTCCAGTTCGTGGATCCGGGTATGGCATAGCAGTCACAGAAGAGTGTGCCTCTGGGGGATGTCGTAGTAAAGAAGGGAAAATTAACGCATGGCAGGGAAAATGGAATGATATTTTATTCATATGCTATTTAACGAGTTAGGGCGAATATCTAACATTTTCAATACAAGGGAATTCATCATGATGATGAATACTTCTATAGATGAATAAAGCTGTAAACTTAAATTTTAGTCTCTTTGTGGGGAAATAAAAAGAGTGAAATATGGTGAAATAAAAAAAATAATAAAAGCTTTCTAAAAATTCCTGTACTTATTTTCATTAGTTTCGAAGTATTTTTGTCCAATCATAACTTTTGCATTCCATTTTTTTATTCTATTTTATTAAATTATTGAAGTAGTGCACAAATTTTTTTTAACGAGAATAAAAAAAAATAGAATATTAAAACTTCGAGCATTCAATAAGACATAAATGCTTGTAAAAAATTCTGTTCCCCAATAAATCGATTGATTGATTGATTGATTGAATGTAGGGATTAATGGCGCAAGTTCCAAATGAGGACATGCTGAGCCACACAAAACGGTAAAACAGTTCGAAAGCCTAAGTACAAACAAAATTTTAAGTGTTGCTCAATTATATCTGATAAAACAGTACTAGTAAGTGAATAAGATCAGATAAATGGTATGAATAAAATCAAATAAAAGGTATGAGTACAGTATAAAACGCGCGAAGTAAGTAAAGTGGTACAAAGATGATAAGATGTTTGCAAAAACGTAGAAAAAAAAAGTTAGACGATGTCGGTTAAAACATCGACACATTATCAAAATATAACGAATCATTATAGGAGCATTACACGTGTTGTATTGAGGAGTAGGCTACCCGAACAGTCTCTAATAAATCGAAAGGTTATTTGAAATTAGGATTTGTAAGAAAAAACAATTACTAGCTGAACTGTGCGTGGTACGTGGAAAACAGTTCTCGTGAATTCCTTTGATGCCTTGTGAATTTTAAATTAGTTTTTTTAGAAATTTTAGAAGCTATACCTTTCATTCAAAAACTTTTGATTAAATATTATAAATTAAAAGCAATTCAAATGTTACAACGTACTTAAATTCGAAATACGGGAAAATATCTCGATTCTAAATATTGAGCTCAAATTAATATGTTCACAAAGTAATATCAAATTCTGAAATAAAATATTTCTTAAACAAAGTTATATTTCAAAAATTTTTGTTGTGTACGTTTTTTTCTTTAATTCCGTTCTAAAATTTAGCCCTAGATGATTTATGACTCGCAAAATACTTGTTTTGCCGTTTACTAGTTTTGAGAAGTTTAAGTATTATTTCATACTTTAACGTCTTCAAACATTGCAAATGTTAAATTTTATTATGTATCTATATTTTAATAAAAATGTAAGAGTTTTCCAGAAAGTTTCTCTAATTTCTGAAGCATCTATACGTTTTAGTTGTTTGTCTGCGAATCGTTTGATTAGTTACAGAATAACATTAATTTAAATTAGTTATCTAGAGTAATCGAGATCAAGCATTGAATTAGATTAGATGCGAAGTTTCATAGAATAATATTAAAAAAAGAGCATGTTAAATGGAATTATTTTAATTGTAGAAAAATGATTATTTACACTAAAATACTTCTCTTATACAAATTTAAATATTTACTAATTAGACGCTGTACTAAGCTATCTCTTAGCAATCAAAAATACATATAAAAATACAAATTAATTTGTTCAATTTATTTTTCTTTTTACAGTTATCAATTTTCGACAGATAAAAACGAGACAAAACTTATTTACTTACTAAAGTTAATGAACATTAAACCGAAATAAGTCATTTTTCTCGAACTTAATTCGATGTTAATTAAAAATTTATTTTAGCCTCGAGTCATTCTTCTTTTTGCAGCATCGAAATCATCTCTTTTCTAATCATGTATAAAATAACGGGTTTGTTATTTCTAGAAATTAAAGCATTTTTCTCCAGTGATGATATTTACTTTCCCAAAAAGGACTTATTCTGAAATGTTTTGAAGAAGAGTTTCTTATGTGGGTGGGAGTGTCTCAGTCAGTTGAAGATGGATGCGGTTGTTGTAATTAATTAAACTAAGGTCTCATTCTTCAAGTATTTTTACATGAGTTTAATGAATTGTGAAAAACAGTTCGTCATTTCAAATTGAAAGGAATTCTTTAAGAAACAATTGTGCCATCCGTTTCTTATTTAATCTATTCCGTATATTCCGTATCTTATTTAAAATTGGTAGAATTTTTCCGGATCTTATTTAAAATTGGTTGAATTTTTTTAAAAATCTTTTATGCTAAATAGCTTTATAAGTTACCTATTTCCGTGCAAAAAGTATTAAAAAATTCAATTTACTACGCCTCTTTTAAATGTTTATGCATACTTTTTTCATTTTAAACGTAAATTTGATTAAAATTGAAACTCAAATTGTAAACTATATTTAAATATTTTTATTATTCCACAATTTTTTTCAACTAATAAACTTTACATTCTTTGATAATTTAATAGTATTAGCAATAAGTTGTGTTAAATATAGAATTTAAAGGAGCCAGATACAAGTCTCCTGTCACATTGCGAAACAAATCCTCAAGGAATCAATTCCGTTGGAGTAAGTGACTATCCATAGAATCCAAACGTAGTTAACGACACAAAGACATTGACTTAAGAAAATTGAAAAGATAAATTTTACCGTGATTGCAATGCAAGCTTATTTTTTATAAATAAATCTTATTATCTTACATAGTCCTAATTGTAAAATCTTTTGTAATTATATTTTTCAGTTAGGTTTGTAGTTTTTAGTTCATGAAGCAGAAATGGCTATAGCACACCATAAACTTGGTATAAATTACAGGCTCTCTTGTTAAAATTGCCAGCTTCTTGGTTTTAAACTTTTTGGTTAACCCTGTTATGATTTTAACTAGCCATTTCTTTAAATAATTGTGTAATAATACAGAAAATAGTTAAAATGAAACCAATTACTGCAATAAAAAAACACAAGAATCTGCCATTAAACCTAGAGATAAAAGTACTGTGTGGGTTGGTTAGTTAATATTTCTTAGAACAGGAATCAGACATGCTATACTATGCCAAATTCTAGGTAATTTTTTTAAAGTATTGAATATATTCCTATTGTTTTAGCAAACTTAATAAGTACTGTGTGGGTGCAATGTATACTGAATACTGAGTAGGAAGAAAAACACCGAAAATATTTATGGATGCTAAAGTGTCATTGTTTTACTTGTTTTAACAAAAACATAGGTTATAACTTAGTAATTAAATGAAAAATCGAAACAGAAAATTTCATTAAATTTAAATTGTAACTATGATTCTCAATAATTTTTTTTCTTTTTCATATAATTAGTTTTTTAAGCCTAGTTATACCATATAAAGTCATGTTCAGCTAAACAAACTTTGAAGCAGATCAGAAAGCAAGCACTTTGGAAACACCAAAATGTAAGGTTAGTTAGCTTTTAACTTACTGCACAAGAGCCAAACGTGGCTATACCGCACTCAACACTTGGTCAAAATTAAGAGTCTGGTTTAAAAGTTTTGCAATTATTCAGTGTCTCTAAGTAAGTCTTCAGTAACGTTTCTCTGTGAATCGTTTCCAATAATGTCGATAATTCAGGATACTCACACTTAAGGCATTGTCGTCTCTTATTTTTAAAATTAGAACACAGGCACAAAATGTGCTTTAAGGTTAGTGGGTTTTTGCAGATGGTGCAATTAGGCACAGGTCCGTTAAGTGAACACGTTACGATTGCAAGTTTCATCTAAAAAATTCTAATTTAAAATAAAGCTACCGAAAAGGTAAGAGAATGTTGGTTTTACGTTGGCAGATTATATAAATTTTGGGGAGATTAAATATTAAATGTTTTAGAAAATTTGTATTGAGTGGGTTAATTAGAAATATTCTTCACTATTTTTTAACGCATTGGAATTTTTGCAAATGTTTTGTAGCCATTTTTTTCTAACTATATTTTTTATTTTATAGGTCTTGTGCTCAGATACATCACAAACATGAATTCTAGTGATATTTATGACAACTTGACGTTTGATACTGTGCTCTATCTTAACAGCTCTAACAGAAGCAACATAACCAGAGATGATTCCAGTGTCGCTTCAGATGCTGTTTTATCCATGGCACTTGCGTTACTAATTTTGGTAACTATAATAGGAAATGCATCTGTGATAATCGCTATAACTCGAGAAAGAAACTTACAAACCAAAGGAAATTGCTTGGTGCTATCTCTTGCAGTCGCTGATCTTTTAGTAGCATGTCTTGTAATGCCATTAGGAGCAGTCTATGAAGTTCATCGGGAGTGGAATCTAGGCAGGGAGCTGTGCGATATATGGACATGCTGCGATGTGCTTTGCTGTACAGCATCCATTTTACATCTAGTAGCTATTGCTGTCGATAGATATTGGGCGGTTACAGATATAGATTATGTACGCCAAAGACAATCTTGGCACGTTGGTTTAACCATTACGCTAGTATGGTTTGTTTCTTTTATAGTTTCTATTGCTCCACTTGTAGGTTGGAAAGACCAGTTGCATGAAACTCGCATACTTACTGAAAAACGCTGTTTGATAAGTCAAGATCCTGGGTACCAACTATTTGCAACCTGCGCAACATTCTATGTTCCCCTGGTTGTTATTCTTCTGCTTTATTGGAGAATATTTCGTGTTGCACAAAAAAGGATTCGAAATAAACCTGGGTCGTGTGCTGACTCGCGTTTGGTTTCTGCTACTGTCATGGCATCTCTAGTGACAGAGATGACATTGATTTCTACCACTACTTCATCATCCCATCCCAGTGAAGCTAGTCGCTCGGAAGATCTTTTATGGAATCATACTAAAGAAGAGGGATTGAAAAAAAGAAGAAGAGTTAATATGCGAACAAAAAGAGAAAGAAGAGCAGCTAAGACTCTAACCGTGATAACTGGCGTTTTTGTTGTATGCTGGCTTCCCTTTTTCACTATGGCACTGCTTATGCCTCTGTGCGAAACCTGTCAGCCAAGTAATGAGCTTTTTAGTTTTGCTCTGTGGCTTGGTTATGCCAACTCAATGCTCAACCCAGTTATTTACACAGTTTTTAGCCCCGATTTTCGAATGGCTTTTAAACAGCTCTATTTTTCTTCTTGTCATTTGTAAACAGGCGCACTTCTCACTGCTTATGTAACTGTGATTGATGTAAAATTATACGTATTTGTGTGTGATATATATGCATCTATGTTTCTTAAGCATTCTTCATGTATGATGTATTAAATATTTTTCTTTGCACTCTCTAACCTTCCGTTTTATATTGATATAATTTTCTGTGGAGTTTAATAGCAATGAGTCATTTAATGGAGCTTTCTGTGCAACAGGAAATTTACACATTATATATTAAGGTCAGCACTTTTATTACAATGAACTAAACAACTAACCTCATACATAACATTACATCAGTTAGTCTAGTTAATAAAATTATTTAATTTAATAATAGCTTATAATATTTTTTAAAATCTCACTATAATGCTATTAATTACCAAAACTAGTTGAAAGTGGGGTATTACCAATACAGTCTTTGCTCTTTTAATTCTTACCTTACTCATTTCATTGCTTTTCACTTTCTAACTAGCTAATAGTTCAAAATAAAAATAACCATTAGTTTAAACAATCTTTAACTTTCACTTAGTTAATAAATGGGTGGTTTCACATACGCGGGCAATTCTTCTGGGTGGACTGCTAACTTGCTAGCAAACAGTTATTAATACTTACCATGTTACTCGTGACAAAACTTCGGCCACTAGTTTGCGAAAAGCGGCCACTTTAATGGCACAAAGTCTATAACAGGATTGAAAAAAATACGAGATTACTCATTTAATTCGAAAAAACTATGAATAAAAAACATAATTGATTCTTTAAATTTTTTGAAGTAAATTGATTGGAGGGAATGAAACGCGAATGGCAAGTTCAGAAGTTTGACTTTATACGTATTAAAAACTATTAAACTTAATATTATGCATGCTAGGAAAAGTGTCCCAAATTACAGAAGGTTAAATCAATACAGTAATCGATAAATTGATTCCGAGCTTCAAACAACTCCTGTAATGGATACTAAACCCTCACCAAATACATAGAAATTGTACGAAGAAAGAAATGCATTGTTAAAAAAGACCTAAAAACCCTCAAAAATTACTTAAAATCACAATGCAAATTTAAAATGTAAAACTTCATTGCATATGGGTCCAAAAAGCACATGCTGCTCCAAGCACATGGTTTTAAAGCAAATTGCTTAAGTAAAAAGCTTAAATAAAATGCAAAATAAATATCTATAACTCAGTTTGGGTTAGAGTTGCAAATTGTTTGCGTAAGTGACCACGTTTATGGCTCTAAAGCGCCTTAAACTGTGTTAAAAGTTATGCAACTGGGTTAAATTCTGGGTAACTTAATCAAAACAACTGTTTTAAAATCAGAAATACACTGTTCGAATTAGTATTAAATTGAGTTTTACCATCAAATGTTTTTAAAGTACTTCATCCAGTTTGGATGAAGTGTTGCTCCGAGAAAAATAGATAAAGTCGGAAAATCGCAGTTAAAGTTACCGTCGTCTTTTATATTTCAATGTCAACAAAGTAAAAAGATGATTAATTACTCTAAGACAATTGAATTAAATTGACTGGAATGTTTAATGGCATAAGATCTAGTAAGTTAATCAAGAATCATTGGTGCAAAGCCATTTGTGGTCATACCGCATCTACAACTTGGTTTATAAAAAGCATTCTGCTATGAGTTAAAGCTAAATTAATTTGCGAAAATCAATGTTCCTGAGGTTATTAGAAATGTTGTTGTGAGGTTTATCCACAATTAATATAGTCAATATTGGATTAAAGCTACCAAATTTGAGTTGTCTCTAGGTTTTAAATTTATTAGACTTGGTAAAACTTGCTGACCATTAAGACAATGCACCGCGTGTGATCAGCTCACACAGGTTTCACTGTACACATTTCAAAAATTACAAGTGCTCTTTGAAAAAAATATATCGACCAGAAAATTCACATCCTTTATAGAAACCGAAAAAAAAATCAATTTTTGGCAGCTTCGTAAGGGATGAAAAAGAACTAATTGAATTACATTTTTTTTAGAATGTTGCAAAAAGTTTAATACAATAGAGAAGTGGCATGAAAAAATAGTAAGCGAAAATTGAAAAAGAAAGACTTTTTTTTACCATCTTTTTTAGGGTAAAAACAATTTCATCGCTTTCGTAGCCTACAGAAATGAGAACTTATCTTGAGTTCTTATCTTACTTAAAAGAAAAATATTGCAGGTTATTTCATTCTTCGATGTTTAACGCTTTCAGCTCAAATAACAAGAGGAAAATATTACTTAAAATACAAACCTTAACTGTATTTAGTTTACAAAGAATGTATTACTCGACATTCCAAATATGCCATAACCTAAATGCTCAATACTTTATTAAATAATTGAACCATTAAAATGTTCGACTATTAACTTTTATTCTTTAAAGTACTTTAAAAAAAAAGACACTAGTTTAAGGTGTTTTTAAGCTAAAGTGTAAAGTAGTTTAAAGTTTACCAACCCAGCTTTTTTCATAAATTTGCTTAACAAGAAACATGTATATACACTGAATTTACTGTGGTTTTTATTTTTAACAGTGGAGTTTTTTTGTACGAGGATTTAAATTTAATGTGGGATTTAATGCGTATGCTTTTAAGACAATGGTACAAGGTCGAAGAACCATCCGCTGCACCAAACAAAGGGTTTTAACAGTTTGACACAGAATTTGTATTAAACATATTTTTTAAACTCTTTTCATTATTTTGTATTATTTTAGGTCAAAATAAGTGAAGAATATTACTTAGCATTTTAATAATTTATGGTTATGAAATACGACATGAAACATCGGTGTATTTTTTTGCGTTAAAGGTAAAATCTTCCAATTATTACACAATTCCAAACAATATTTTTTTTTTCAAATTTGCACTTATTTACCGTTACTTATATCTAAGAGAAACAGTTGTTCATTATTGAAATTTCTTTATTTTACAAAATTAATTATTGATTAATTTTTGAATAAGAATGACAATTACAATTTTTATAATTAAAAAATATTGAATTTTTTTTACTGGTAATTAGAGAGCGTCAGACAAGAAAATATATGAAAGGAACAACAGCTCCAAAGGGTCAAAGGGACAATTTGCTCCAAAGGGTTGAAACAGTTCAAAGGGTAAAATATATTATGTATTCACATTAAACTTCATAAATAAGCAGAAAATCGATAAAAGCAATAATTTTTTTTTCCATAAATGGATCTATTATAGTAATTAAAGGGCTACAAGTACATTAATCAGTGGACAGCATTACATACCCACAGTAGAGAAATAAAACAGCGTTAGTCTGGCAATTCTTAAAAAAAGAAGGAAATCTCGGACCATAGAAAAAGGTAGGACACTAAAATTATATAATGGATTTTGTAAGTTATTTTACAAGTAGCAATTTATATTAAAACTATCATTTGTAATATTCCTTTTGTTAGCAATCCAGTTAAATTTGGCATTACCTTTAATTCTTTAAAATTTTCTTTCTTTAACTAATGCTTTTTAAATATTTCAACTAATTCGCATTCTTTTTATGCTTCTTTTATTATTAATATAGCTACGTTAATAACTTATATTTAACAATAATTGTAATTTTAATTGAAAATATTGTACTCTGTTTTTTTTTCTATTTATTTAGACAGATTAATAATGGGCCGAAGCAGCTCGTACTCCACGATTAGAGCTACTGTAATGAAATAAATATTTGGAAAAGTATTGACAGAAAGAAAAATGAAACGGTTCAAAAAATATAATTCTGATCAATCAAAAGAAAGTTAGTGAATTATTTGTATTCTTGTGAAAGTTAGTTATTTGTTTTCTTGCGCAAGAGCCAGAAAGACTATACCGTGTCACACACTTGGTCAACATAAAACCATAAATTAAATTAAGGAGAATTATCCAGCGTTTTTAAGAAAGTCAATAAGCTATGGGGGTAGAATTGCACCCAGGTAAATAAACTAGGAAAATCGAAATTAAAATACCGACGTCTCTTAATCTTCAAATTCGAACACTAGGTCAAGATGTGTCTCATTCTTAATGATTCTCTACAATTGGAGCAAACAGGCACTGGTTCGTTTAACCCCTTGGGGACGGGTGATTCAGAAAAGCATTCGTACAAAATCAGAATCAAGTTGTAATTAAATAAAAAACGGTAACTTAAATGTAGTCGTTGCTAATTTGACAGACTTACTTTGCTTTTACTTTAATTATTGTTAGTTTAATGATATATATAATCAATGTTAATTCAAGGTATAACTAAATAGTTTTATTTCGAACAAAGTAGTGGTGAATTAAATAAATCAAACAATTATAACTCTGCCCGCAAATAAACTGCTAAGGAAATACTTTGATTACCAGTTTTATCTTTTTACCCTGATTGATACGGTTTTATGCTGGCACATATTTGTGACAGTCGGCGCGAAAGGGTTAATAAAAGGTATCTATGTGCCAATCATGTATGACCAATACGCAATCTGTTATCTACAGCTAAATTTTTCTAAAATTATTTTGGGTTTTTTTCGGAGTAAGTAACGGTTTGTCTTCACACAATTTATTACCGATTTCTGCATTCCATTGAGTCTGCCAGTTTAAAGTTAAAGTGTCTGTAACTGCTTTCATTACATCAGATCGAAGAACAGACCTGTCAGAAAGGTTTTGAGTAGATTTTGCAGTGGAATGTGTGATTTTATTTCCTAATATTCCAACATGTCCAGGGATCCAGAACATAAAATGTTATAACCTTTTTCTTTCTGTTGTAGTAATATTTTTAAAATATGAATTAAGAGAGAGTGTAACTTGATGACTGGGTTTTTCATAGCTTCCAAATGACTTTTAGAATCAGAATAAATTATCCAATTTCAATGATTCTGAGTTGAGATGTAGTCAGGAGCTGAAAAGATGGCATGACATTCTGAGGTAAGAACTGTGCAAGTAATTAAAGCTTCTCTGAGAAAACCGCATTGTGGGAAATTATTGCATATGCTACGTGATTATTTGCTTTAGAAACATCTTTAAATACAAGTTTATAATCTTTATAAATTGAGCGATGATAAAAATACTTTTTCTAGTAATTTATAGGAGAAGTTAACTCCTTTTTTGAACTTACAAAGATGTCTAAGATATAAAATGGTACAGAAAGGGAATGGTGTTGATTATGACACG